TGTGCTAATTAGGAACTAAGCCAGTTTAAACAAAATAAATCCAATTCCTTTGTCTCTCACCCTACTTTTCTTCATAGCCTAAAGTCTGAAAGAAAAAGGAAATATGACTGCAGAGATACTGTGTGTTTTTTGCTCCCTTTATCACCTTGCAGAACCTTCTCCACAAGTATTTTCAGGGCAATTTCGAATCCTCACCTGCTTCTCAACTTCTCTTCAGACTCCCTAGAGCAATGAGTTGCTGGAGACCCAACTACATAGTTTTTCCAAATAGTCAGAGGTAAGGGCAAATAAAGGAGTCGGGGGAGAGAGAAGTGGGGAAGGGAGAAAGGAGAAGAGGAAGAAAGGAAGGAAAGGTCATTAGGAAGGACCTGTATTAGTAAGAACAATGAGAAAACTGCAGTTAGTTCTGTTCTCAGCCATCCCTGTTCTCAACTGGGACTGCATCACAGTTCTGTGTCTTCCAGTTACAAGGAAGTGACTCAAGAGACTGTTCTGAGGTCGTTATAGCCAAGCTGTAGGCGGCTGTTTCACTACCTTTACTTTTGTGCTTTACATCACAAAACAAAACAGACAAAACATATTATTTTCCATGTAATTTTCCAATTAATGCGAACTTGCATTGATCTGAATTTTAAATAAAACTGAACATGTTGGAACCCCACTGACCCCATAATACTACAAAAAGATATAGTTTTATTTAAACATAAACACAAAACATAAATTGAGAATCAGCAATAGACTTACATCTGGATGACACTTGAATCCAGTAATAAACTCTTAAAAAGAGTTTATCTGTGTTTGAAAATTCTGAAGGGACTTCTAATGCCTTTTGCTGAAACAGACACATTGCATGAAACCACACTCCAATACCAATCTACTAACCGTAACATGGCTCTGGCTTCACAGAGGAAGAAGCAGACAAAATACCACAGCACTCTCAGTCTCCCATCCTCCTGGCCACACAGGATCTCATCTGGTGCTTCCAATACTAGGATTCCCTGACAGTAGGATGGCAGTTTTATGGAGTTCAACTTTAAAAACTGTTAAGTCCATGGCTGACAGAGAGGGACGAGTAGAGCCAGATAAAGAGGTTCTTGTTGTCGAGAAAGACAAGAATCAATGGCCTAGCTCCAGAGTGTTGCAGCTCTATGGTGTTCGGGAGCACAGCATGCTCTGAGTAAGGTTGGCAGGTGTAAATGAGGTCCTACACAACCTCTTAGAAAGAACATGCAGGGTTTGGCAATTTTATCCCCACTCCCATCCTCATAAATGATTCAGTGTAAATGGACAAGGACCAGAAAAAGATCTTACTATACAGATTATCTGCTGCCCAGAACTCACTGCAATCAGAACAAGATATTGTTTCTACAGGCCCCTGTGAGCACCTGGAATGGTTTTCATCAAACAGAACCTCTCTTTGTAATGGGATTTGACCTGGTTGAACCTTTGAGAGCAGAAATTTGGGGGAAGAAATAGACTTTCTTTAGAAAAGCAATTTAAATATAAACATCCCAATGCAAAAACATGGGGGGGTGGTTAAACTTTTGGAAAAGATAGTTTCACCTCAGTGAGCCTACAGGAGCCCCCCTTCTCCTCAGAGAACATATTCCAAGACCCCCAGTAGGCGTCTAAAACTGCAGGCAGTACCAAACCCTACACATAATTGCTTTGTTTTTTCCTATACAGTTTAATTTATAAATTACGCATAATAAGAGATTACCAGCAATAACAAAATAGAACAATTATAATGATATACCATAATAAGTTATATGAGTGTGCTCTCCCTCTCTCTCCGCAAGCTAGCACAACCTTCTCTCCTTCTTCACAATTTCACGGACAGAAGTTTCATTCTTACCATAGGTTTTAGCAACCTCAGCATAGGATTTTTTGTATTTCCTTACTAAGTCAAGAGCTTTCATCTTTTCACTTAGAGAAAGCACTTTATAGCTTCTCTTTGGCATATCCAAATCGCCAGCATCACTACTCTTACGGTTTGGGACATTACTAAGTAAAATAAGTGTTACCTGAACACAAGCACTGTGGTACCCCAACAGTCAATGTGATGACTACAATGGCTACCACATGACTAAAGAACGGGTAGGTCTACAGTGCGGTGACAGGGGATAAAAGGCATGATTCACATCTGGGGCCAAAGGGGGCAAAACAGCACAAGATTTCACCACACTACTCAAAATGGTGTACAACTTAGAACTTCTCAGTTATTTATTTCTGGAATTTTCCATTTAGTATTTTCAGACCCAAGTTGACCATGGGTCACTAAAACAAATAAGAGGGAACTACTGCATTTTGATTTAGTTGGAAAAGCATTTTGCTGAGATACTGCTTTCACAGAAAGTATGGTCGGGCTTTGCTTGTTTTGGCACTTCCATTCTTTTTACAAAACTGGATATCGTTTAAACAACACAGACACAGTAGTTTATAGCATTACCATGGTCATAAGAATCTCTAAGGTCATTGTATACTTTGATAACTCACTGTGTCCTCAAAAATTCTGAATCCCTGGCTGATGTGGCTCAGTGGACTGAGTGCTGACCTGTGAACCAAAGGGTCACTGGTTTGATTCCCAGTCAGAGCACATGCCTGGGTTTCAGGCCAGGTCCCCAGCAGGGGGTGTGTGACAGGCAACCCCACGTTGATCTTTCTCTCCCTCTCTTTCTTCCTCCTTTCCCCTCTCTCTAAAAATAAATAAATAAAATATTAAAACATAAAAAAAGACAAATATCATATGATTAAAAAAATTCTGAAAAATACACTACAAAAAGAGAGTTTAGAAATATAGCAGACCATAATCCAATCCATAAATTCAACTACTAGAGAAATAGAGTCATTCCTTTAATAAAGTGAATAATGAGAAAAAGAGTTTCAAATATTTACATAATCCAGTAGGATGTTCTCTACTACTTTTTCACTAGTTAGATATATCAGAACAAGCGTTCTAACTGGTCATTTAAAGGGCAATTTAATGAAATATTTTATCTTAGACCAGATCTCATACCAGAGGAAAAAATATACTATCTAACAATATCCTTATTATTAGGAGATACACACTGAATGAAGTATGTAGGCACAAAGAGTCAGGAAATAGTTTAGAAAAATTATTTTATGGATGTACATGTGTGTATATAGACTGTATATTGTATATTATACAATAAGCTATTCTGTATTATACATATTCTATCATTTATAAAATCTATTTTTTATATAAAGAGAGCACAGAAAGCAAAAGGGCAAAATGTTAGCCATAGGTCCATTTGTGCACAGGTATAAAGATATTATTTGTACTGTTCCTGCAATTTTTCCTTTAAGTTTGAAATTATGTCCAAATAAAAAAATCTTTTATGAAAAAGAACGGGAGGATCGATGCCCTCCCTCCCCGACTGGGTTGCCAGCAAGGAGCAGCCTCTCAAGCCTGGGCAGGTTCTAGCCCCAGGAGCACGTTCATCTCAGTTTGATTTTCGCTTGGTTTGATCATTCACACAAATTAGCCAAAGGAAGCTAAATGAGTTGATGTTGTCGCTTTTTCCGTTTTTCTAAACTTCTGATTATAAAAGTGGCATGTGCTTATTTTACAAAATTTGGGGAAAGGAAACTAACAAAGAAGAAAAAAACCCACATATAAATCCTACCCAATCCCACCAAACTTCAAGAAACATCACTGTCATTTTAGCCTATTTTCTTTCAGTCTTTCTTCCAAAGTTTTAAGAGAATTGGGATTATATTATAAGACTTGTGTAGTCTGGGTTGTTTATTCTTCTCTTTAGCCTACAGTAAACATTATCCTATATCACTGAGTCAAAAAATTTCATAAAATCTTCAATGTCAATAAAATAGTCCATATTATAGATAGGCCATAATTTACTTAGTCATTTCCTTAAAACTGTCCCTTTGATTGTTTCCAATTTCAATTTATTATACGTAATGCTGAGTTAAAAGTTTAAGATCCTTGTTCTTAAATCCTTTTCTTTCTTTCTTTTTTTTTTTTGTATTTCTGGTTTATACTTTTATAATAGATTCCAAAAAAAAATTGCTGGGCCAGAGGGTATAAACATTTTTAAGACTCAATACAAAAAGCCACACTGCTTTTTTCAGAAAGTTAGGCCTTAAGGCTAAAGGTGTTAGCCTTAACACCTTTACTGGTAAGGGGCAAGTGGGCACCTAACTAAAATTATCAAAATTTCAGGCTGAAATCTCATTTTAGGATTTAAAGAGAGGGAAGTTATTGCCACAGTCTGAAAACTGCCATCTTCACATCAAATATCTCCTAGGGCAACTTCCGTAAGCTATTTTTGGCCTTCAAAAAAGGAAAAACAAATATTCCAACCCGTATCAACACACTGTGTACTGACTACTACGGAGATGTGGGGCCCAGCCTCAAATAGTCATCAACATATTAAGCTTTGGGTGTCTACAATCTAAAAGATCTTCCTATCCTGATAGAAATGGGATCCTAAAAATTTAAGATGGGGAAGGAGGCGGGGAAGTGCTTGGGCAAAAAGCACAGAAACTAAAAGCAAGGCTCAGGTTCAAAAAGACAAACTTAAGACCACTGTTTTTTTATTTTCTTAGCAGACTAGCTGCGGAAAAGGAGGGCTCCATCAGTGAGGAGACGTGGAGCCGGCCCCATCTGTCCTGAACAAACAACCAGCCTGGCTCAAGGCTGGAGCCAAACCTCTTGGAACTCAGTCTCCTTGCATGTTCAATGACAAGGCTGAACAAAGTCCCTAAAGGTCCCTCTCAGGTCTCTCATTTTGCAACATGCTCCCTTAAATGTGCCAAGAGAGAAAAGGGCAGAGTGGTTATTCTCTCTGAACGCACTGCATCAAATGCTGACCACCTCATTTCTCGTAACACAACTAGATCAAATAGCACTTAGTGTACAAAACAGATTCCAGAAACTTTGTATTTCCCACTCCTTCAGACACCAGGGACTAGGAAAGAAGAGGTAGGGGATCTGCAAGCAAGGAGAAAAGAAAGCTCACCATGGCCATTGCAGTAGTAGATCCACTTCTCCCGGGTATGGGCTGGGGCAATCGATTTCTTCAGCCCTGCCTTTTCCACAATGGCACTGGGATCCTGCCGGGGCCCCTTTTTCAGAGTCCTTGAGCTTTTCCGGATACTGCACACCACAATCACCACAAGCACCAGCAGCAGGAAAAGCACAATCATCCAGGGCAGATGCTCATTGATGTCAAAATGCTTGTGTAGGTTCTGCCTGGGGTGGCCTCTCTTGGCGCCTTTGATGGGCGTGCTTGACTTCTCGCCTGCAGTGGCCTCCATGGATGGCGGCAGCTTCAGGATGTGTCTGTGGTGGGAACCTTGCTGGTGGTTGACTACCTGGAGGTTTGGGAGGGTCTTGTTCACACCTTCCTCCCACGTTGCTGAACTTGCGTTCTCAGAGACTGTCCCTTCCTGGATGCCACTCAGTACCTTTGGTCTAACAGAGGCAGAAGAGTTGGATTCTGTTGAGTTCATGCCTAGAAAAAAAGAGTAAGGAGGGGGGGAAGAGCTTTTCTATATTTGGGGATCTATATATTCCTTCCTCTTCCTGCTCATCTCCAAACCAGGCCAGATAATTAAAGAAAAGATGACCTTTGGAGCTTAAGAATCAACTATACTGCACATTTTCATAAAGATCTTAAATGCACCTTTATGTGGAAGGTAGCAACTAAGCTTAACAGCTGAACTGATTCACTTCCTCATGCCCAAACCAAGGGCATTCTCACAGCAGTCTCTCCTGTGCTCCACACCCCGAGCAGACACATGTATGCTCAGTTTAGTCAAATCCCAATTGTCCGACTACTTCAAATGTAATTCCTTTGTCCTTCAATTCCTTTATACCTCCTCCCCCACCTTTGACTATTTCATAATGCAACGGTAAAATTGAGAATATGACTGAGATAAAGAAAAGAGCTCAAACTCAAAGCCAAGTTTGACCAATGAAAGAAAGTTTTGGTGAGACAGGTCAGTGAATAAAATAAGGCAGGACACTCCTTAGAATACTCTATTAATAGTTTAAATAAGATTTGGTGTGGCAGTTTAGTGGACTTCTTTCAGAGAAGCTTCTGCAAGTTGTCTTCATTAACAAATTGTTACAGCCAGAGATTTGGAGTTCCAAGAAGTAAGATCTGGCCTGTATCAGCTGCTGAAAAAGCCTGGTCAGGTCACCTGAGCTCTCTGGGCCTGTTTCTTCCCTCCAAAACAGCGGTTTTAAGAAGGCCCTCCTTACAAGGTTATCATAAAGGTCAAATACAATCACACATGATATTACACTAGAAAGCACAACTCAAATTGGCTATCATCTCATGAAAATTATTAAGTTCAATCAAAAGGGATTTGAAAATAAAGGTTAAATTTTATATTCTGCCTGAGATTCTAAGTGAATTCTGAGATACTTGATAAAGAGCACCAAGTCAGAATCATTTGGGGGGAAAAAAAAAAAAAAAGAAACATTATTTTCCAGATGTGAATGACAGTTACCTTCAGTGTGACATAAATTTGCTTGTTTCCTGAAGTTTCTAACCTATTTTCCCCTCTTTGCCTTACTTTGGATCCAATATTTATCCCTCCCTCCCTGATGTCATGTTATTTTTCTCCCCTTCTCCCTTCTCTTGACCTTCTGGCTGCATCTACCCAGGCCTGACTCCATGTTGGAAAACTTTTAATATGGAAGTGACCTTAAACATCTAAATCATTCATTTATTTGACAAGTTTGAAACCAAGGCCAAGAGAAGTTCAGTGACTTACATAAGGCCATACACTGTCCTTGTTTTACTGGGTTCTTATTTTCTAGCTTGATGTGACCCAGTTTTTAGATATCTGATCCCTCCAACTACCTGAAAACTTCTGAGTCTAAATGCTCCTAAAAGGTCCAAAGAAGCCAAATTTAGTTAGCCACAAGATGCAAGCCCCTTCATCAAGGGGTGACTTTGGAATATACAAAAACGGAGAAAACATCTTTTGGTACAAGCCCATTGTACCAAGTGCTCCTCAAATAAACAACTCATGAGGTTAAGTTACCTTTGGGAACATCAGTGGAGGAAGGGACTTCATGAGATTCCATGGGCTCAGGGCGTGAAAAGATGGCTGTGCCAGGGGAAGAAGGCGGGGTTGTACCGGTGAAGGACGGGAGCGTGCCACAGACGTTGTCTGCCTCCTTGGTCCCTGGCTTGATCACCACCAGGTTCTGACTCAGACAGTCTGTGTATGTTTTGCATTTCATCACACTAGAAGGCACATCAGAGAAGGTACCCCGAGTACACTGCTTACACCGCACGTCCTCGGTCTCCGTCCCTTTCTTCCGCACACCCCAACCCACAGGACACACCGTATGGGGGATGCAGGTACCATTAGACTGGAACATGCCAGGTGGGCAAGTGCATTCTCGGTCAGTCAAGGCAGCACAAGGTAATTTCTCAACCATTGGCCATGGGCATGGCTGACTACAGTCATGGCATTTCTCTATGCCATTCTCATGCCGGGTAAAGGTCCCCACAGGGCAACTGCTACAGACTCGCAGGCTTGTGTTGGTACAGTGCTCAGATACATAGGTTCCTGCTGGACACTTGTCACAGGTTAGCACCTGGCCAGTGGCACGGTCAACATGGTGATATTTGCCAATGAGACTTGGGGTCTTCTGTTCTGTCTGAGCAGAGGTGATGCTAAGGAATCCAAGCTGAAAAATATAAAAAGGGAGGGGGAGGAACAATAACCAAGAAGGCGTTACATAAGAACAGAGAATAAAAGCTGGAACAATCCCACCACCGCCACTACCATCCCTAGGAAAAATCTGACCGTTTCCTCCTAACCCTAGGCTGCTATACTGTAGAGAAACAAAGATTCTGATTCCACTCCATGGCTTGACCTACTAGTTGTGAAGCTTTGGTTTCCTTGCCTGACCTTTGCCTTGGCTTCCTTTTCTTCCATCTGTAAAACGAAGCTGACAATACCTCTCAATTATAAAATTCAGTTTAGAACATGAGCATGAAAGCACTCTGTAGCTTGTATTAAAAATGTTGTATAGAAGTCAAACATCCTAGTACAAGAAGAAAACAACTTGCTGAATAATTACCTTCCTTTCCATGACCCAAATGTTAAGTTACCATATTCTGATACCTGACAAAACAATTGAAAAGTAGGATGGCATCTGTTCAAGTTGCTACTTTCACAGCACACAGATGAAGTTAACCTAGAGACATGGCGTGATTTTTTTCCAAATGTTTCATCTATGCAAAGCTATACTTTTTTGTTTGCTTGGTTTTGGGTTGTTTGTTTGTTTGTTTGTTTTGCAAAATAGAGTTAGGCCCTTGGCATTCTTAATGTGTTTTAATCAACAGAGTTGATGCTTTTAGATGTACATCCTATTTGTCCAGCCCCTAAAGGCCACAGCCAATAGAACATGGACTTGCAGCCACCTCAGAGCCAAGCACAAAGCTGGGCTCAGCCAGGACTCAATACGCATTCACATTTAACTCATAGAACAGAAACTTAACCCAGCTAGACAGAATTTTCTACTACCTGCCATAATGAAAACTTCGGGGAAAGGAAATTATATTTGTAGCACTAAATCCTGAAGTACTTGAGGGGAGGGGGGCAATGTTTAAGAATGCATGTTAAAGAGTTTTCTGCATTAATGAAGACTGAGAGGGTCCAATAAGAAAGTTTTCACTGTCTTCTACAAAATGGAGAGAGGTTATGTGTCTAGAAAATAATTGCTACCTCAACTACCAGCTACCCAACAGGGCAAATTCCTTCTCAATTTGCCTCTGTCCCAGTAACTGAAAGAATAAAACAAGAATTTTTTTTCAAAATAATCAGAGTTCCTGTCTCCTTAGCACCTTGAAGCAACCCAAGATTCAATTCTCTTCTACCTCAAATTTAACTATTTGAACAAAAAGTATTGCCCTTAAAGTCCTTTACCCTGCCCCAGAACTGCCTCCAGTTCAATGAAAATATTGGAAATTTCTCAGTTTATGAGAATATATTCACCTTTAATCAAGACTAAAAAAAAAAAAAGACAGTAGTTCATTTTCTTGGTAAAATATTTAACATCATCTTGGACTCAAGAAAAATAATCTGCTTGATAACTAATTCTGTGGTAACATCTCTTTTCACTTCTGGCTTTTTTTGTACCTCGTCTTTGCAAAATCAGCCCCAGCCACCTGTCGCATCAGACTGAGGAAAGGAAACTCGTTACCGTTTTCTGGAGCCCAACTGCCATTTGACAAGTACATGAAGACATATCTTTTCCCAATCTACACGATGAGGACACAACTCAAGAAATTGCAAAAGAGGTTCTGCTCTGTACTTCTCCAAGTTTCTTAGGGCAAAAGCAGTTGTAGAGAGCTACAGTGTTCTGAAGTTTGAAAGATGTATGAGTAATATCAAGGCAGGTTATTACACTTGTGCAAATTAAATTAAATCAGAGAAGAGAACAGGCAATCTTGCCAGCCAGCAGACATCAGAAACGAACATCACTCTCCTGTGCTATGGGATTTGACTCTGGCCCCTAACCATGCAAGGAGGCTAGAGAGGCATTGAGGCACACACCCGGGGGGTGGCTCTACAGAAGGAGCGCAGGAGGTCATGAGTTCACTGTGTGTGTGGGTGGGTGTAGGGTTAGCACTTGCTTCCTAGAGTTTCATTTAGAAGTAGAGTACACACTTCTAAATCTGAAGGTAAGGGATGCTACTACATTCTGCACTGGTCCTATGATTACTGAGTTACTGGAGGTCCCCAAGAGAGATATAAAACCCACCTCCAAACCTCATTGCACCCACACTCTTCCCCATTCATTAAGTGGATTTTCCAGTTCTTTGTTCATTTAGAATAACTGATCAGGTTTCTAATTAAAGCTAAACTCAGAGCTCTTTAAACTGCACCATACTAGGTAACCCACTTAAGACAATGTGGCTTTAAAAAATGGACCGTTAAATTACCTCATGCTACAAAAGGCAACTCTAGCTCTTACGAACAGAGCTACCACACAACATGCCTCAGCCATCTCACCTGAGCTGAACACTAGACATGTGATTTGTGCACAAAACAGATACTGTGAAAGCACTGGACAATATTTATTGAAGACCTACTATGTGTGTACAAGAGCCTTGAGAACTCCATTGCAGCCCTTACAGTGTTTACCTTCTAAAGGAGGACAGACATAAACAACTAATTACATTAGTAATTACTTAATTAGAATTAAGATTACCGCAGAGAAAGAGAAATAAGAGTCCCTTGAGAAAGGTTTTAGCAGGTACTCCCCCACTCAGAGATATTAGAGAAGTGTTTTAGAACACTTCTGAAGGATGGAAGAACTGAACTTAAGTCTGGACAGGGTTAAGTCTGGAAGGGGATTAGGCAGAGGGAGCCCCAGAGCAAAAGTCTGAAGCAGAGGAAACTCAGCTCAGGAACTAAGAAGGTTGTGTGGCTCCACGTCCAGGGGCAACACAGTGGCCACAGTTAAATTTGGAGAGGCTCCGCAATTTGATCCTAACCCAAAATACAATGAGAAATCACTGTATGTTTATATTGGAGGTTAGGGGTAGAGGCATATAATCACATTTATGAATAAAAAAGTTATCTGGTTGCGGAGTGGACAGTGAAAGTGGTGAGGGAGGATAGTAGATGTACAAACTTAAAGGGGAAAGCCAAGGTGAAGCTGGGGGTGACGTGGACGAGGTTGGAGGTCATGGAAGGAAGAAAAGGCAAGAGATATGAGAGGTCAGATCAGCTGGATTTGGGAAATAATTACCTACGGAAGGAGAAAAGGGGAAAAAAATCAATGGTTTTCAAACTGGACGCCAGAAAGCATAGCACTGAACACATTTCTCAGGGCTATCACGTGGGCCGGGAGGGTACGCGTCAGGGCAGGAACAGGAGGTAGGACCCCCAACTCCCCATCTCTGCCTCAAACACAGCAGCTCTGATTTGCCAATTTGCTAGGGGGCTTCCAAGTAAGAATCCACTTGAAAGAAGGTTCACTCCCCCTGCTGCAAAGCTGAGTGAACTGTTCCCTGGGCTGTTCATCTGCACACCCAGAGAAAGAAGGGCCAATGTCCCTTTCCCTTAACAGAGACACTGGTGGCACCTGAGAAAAGTTACTATCTTAAGGCCTTTTAGTCAGCTGAAGACTCATGATCCAAAACTATAGCATTTTCCACTAGCCTGGTGGCAAACCCTCTGGTTTCTAAAAAAATTAAAATGATATAAAAATCATCCCCAAAAACAATTCAAACAGTGAAGCAATGGGTAGTAGGGAGGATGGGGAACAAGTTCGGAAACAGTATTTAAGAAATGTTCCCTATCAAATGTACTGTAAAAACAATTTAGATGATACCTAAAAGCTACTGTAAGGGAAAACACCTGAATCAGGAGACATAGTCATCCCTGATGAAGAGCCTCAATCCTCTCATTTGTTACAGAGTCAGGGACACTAAATCAGAGGTTCACCAAAGCCTCAGGTCTCAGATGCAGCATCAAAATTACCTGGGAAGCTTTTTTAAAAAATCACCGCCTCAGTCCCAATCACCTGAGATCATGTGGTTCTGCAGTGGGGCCAGAAATGTGTTTGTCTTGTTTTTAAGCTTTCCAAGTGGTTCTGACGCGCCCCCCACCCCAACTTCTGGACCCCCTGAACTCAGGCCAGATCCCTGTGGCTTGAATCTTCTCTGATTCTGAGAAACACTTTGGAAACAGCCCAGCTCCACTGTCAGAGCCCCTCCCCTGCCTCTTTTCCAACCTGGCACTTACTGTTGAAATACTGTTCTTGTTTCATTATTTCTTTTTTACAATAAGCATTCTTGTAATAATTCCAAAAACCACAAAATGGAATAAAATGTTTAAGTATCTGCTCAAATCCACCCATCCCTACACAAACTCGCTCTTAATTTTGGTGCACATCTCTCCAGACCCGCCCCAAGCACTTACACGTAGCACACAGACACACAGGCAGACTTTAAATTGGCTGCTTCAGTTTCATCTGAAGGGGACAGGTCAAACACACTGTTCTGTGACTTGATTCTGTACATCTCCTCACGTTGCATCACTGAAAATCTTTCCATGTCAGAACTTACAGATTACTTCGTTCTTTAGAATGGTCAAGTTCTCTTCGACAGTATGGATGTGCCTTTCTTTCTGAGGACATGTGGATTGCATCCTTGTCCCTCTGTCAGCGTATGCACGCATTTTTCTATGCCCCATATTTCCCTCCTTTGCTTCCCACTCCCCACCTGTTTCTCTTTTCTTTCTTTCTCATCCCAAATGACAGCTACAACCATGTTGCTCTCAGTCTTTTTAAGGGCCACTTTCTTCAAGGACAAAAGAAGTCTCCATACAACCCGTAACTTGGAACCTCTCATTCTTCCTCCTTCCTACTAATATGACATAGTATTAACATTATATCTTATTGACATTAACACCATACATGTGTTTTCAGCCTGTGGGAGGAGCAGATCTAAAGTAGAAAAGAATAGCTGGACAAAGGTTTAGAAAACAGAAGACTTATATTCTTGTCCAGACACTGCCTTAAGATCAGTTGGGCCTGGTTTTACTTGCTTGTAAAATTAGCAGGTTGGACTACGTTGTATTCAGTTCTACCCTGTGCCATTGTCGAATTCTACCTTCTCCATGAAGCCTTCACAACATTTCCTGGACAACTAGATTCCAATCAGATGAGCA